AGCCGAGTGCATCTTTCCCGGAGCGCATGGGGCATTGACGGCAGTTTCAAAAATAAAGTTTGTTCCTGCTTGAGTGGCTTGTGATTTTGTGCCTAGCCAGACTGCGGCAGTATAGAAGGCATACCTGGAGTCCTAGCACTCAATAGGCTGAGGAGGGAGAATCACTTAAGCCTAAGAGTTTGAGATCAGACTAGGGAACACAGAGAGACCACAACTCAAATAGGAGGGGAGAGGGGGAGAATGTTTTTAATAACAACAATCATTTTAACTCAAATTAGTGTTGCTTAGTAGGAGAGTGATTGTTTAGCATGTATGAGGTTCCTGTTTCAATCCCCAGTACCACACACACACAAAAAAAAACACTAAAATTCCTTCACCTTGGATTTATAATAAAAATTAAAATTTCAGCCAGGAGCAGAGGTACAGGTTTGCAATCTGAATTAGTTGGGAAGCTGACGCAGGAGGATTGAAAGTTGGAGACCAGCTCATCACCTCAGCAAAACCCTGACTCAACATAAAAGAATAAAAAGGGCTGGGGTGTAGCTGAGTGGTAGAATGCTTGCCTTGCATGAGCTCAATTCCAGCATTAAAAATAAAATAAAATTTAAAACATTTAAAATTTTTATATTAACAAATTTTTACATATTAGATTTGATCAGCTGATAAAACATACCAAGACCCTTAGTATTAAGATACCTCTTAAATCCAGGTTAATTCAGTAACACGTGCCTGTAATCCCAACTACTTGGGAGGAAGACTTAGGGGATTCTGTCCACTAAAGGTGGTCTCAAACTCTTAGGCTTAAGTGGTTCTCCCTCCTCAGCCTACTGAGTGCTAGGACTACAGGTATGCCTTCTATACCAGATGAGCGATGTAGTTCAGTGATAGAGCATTCCTGGGTTCAATCCCCAATACAGCTAGTACTGCAAAGAAAAAAAGAAGCTTAAATGCAAGTAAGTTAGGGATACGTGTGTGTGTGTGTGTGTGTGAATTTGAATGCTTAAAGAGATAAGAAGATTTTCAGTTAAAAATAACAAATTTGACATACTCACTTACTCTTCTCATTCCAAGATCCTAAGAATGGAAAGATTTAAAAAAACACAAAGCCAATGGAAAATAGGACAATAGCAACAAGCTATGAAGCAGATGAGAGATTGTTTCCTTTCTCAAGTTAGCACTAAAAATATTTGTTGAATTAAACAACATCCAAACGTTATTGATATAGTTATGTTATTCAGAGTTTTAAAAAACATTCACACTGAAGTTTAAAGTTAATATAAAAAAGTAAATCTGTGCTAGGCGCGGTTACACACGCCTGTAATCCCAGTGACTGGGAAAGGTGAGGCAGGAGGATTGCATAAGGTCAGCCTCAGCAACTTAGCGAGATTCTGCCTCAAAAAAAAGGACTGGGGACTTAGCTCAGTGGTAAAGTGCCTCTGGGTTCAATCCTCAGTACCAAAAATAAATAAATAAATAAATTTGCAAAGTTGTGAAACATCAGCCTCAAAATCAAAGGTTCTCTTTGGCTTATATTGATAATAAACTAGAAGTGACAATTGCCACAGAAAAACAGCTCCTGATAAAAAAAAAAAAAAAAAAAAAAAACTAGTAACCACTAACCAGAGCCACTATATGTATACAGATTTCTACTACCTAGAGTTTTACTTTGCAAGAAAAAAAAAAATATGCACTGCACTGTCTAAAACATTAACTTACACTATATGTCCGACAGCCCATCTGACATAACAAAAAGCTAAAACAAGTCACTCGTTGAGCCAAATATTTTAAATATATTTATTATTTCGTATCATCATTTCAGAGTAGGTTGAAAGTATAGCTCCATAGTAAGAGTACTTGGTTAGCACACACGAGGCCCTGGGTTTGATTCCCAGCACCATGAAAGGAAAAAGAAATAGAAAAGTATAACCTTCATCACAGAATAAACTGTTCTAAAGAATATTGTTTCTTTTTCCCTCACAACCTTTCATGATCATTTTAAAAGTTAGAAATCCTTCCAAAAACTATATATGGTCTAGTCTTCTTAAAGAGGACAGAGGAAAATGCAAGAACTATTAGAAGTCAGGAGCAGTAGTGCACAGCTGTAATCTCAGCTACTAGTGAGACCTAAGGCCACAGGATCATGGATTCAAGCCCAGCTTGGCCAACAAAGCAAGACCTCATTTCAAAACAAAACAGAAAATACCTGGACACACTGCAACTACCAGATCATATCACTTTCTCTTTATGAACTTAGTTTCTCCATCCCTCTCATCTAAAAATAGTTAGACTAAATTATTTTATTTGGCAAATCAGAGGCTTTCCTGTATACTATATGGTTTCAGCTGTGTTACTAAAAGGTATTGTTGCTCTAAGGAATGGACAACGTATAATTATACTATCATTCAAGCCAAGACTATTCCATCAACCTTTTTTTAGCTTGTTCTGCTATATAAGCCTTTCCCCAATCAAGCAATACCCCACAATTCCTCCAATATTAATCTTTCTGAAGGGTAACTATGACCATGACACTTTTATGTAAAAACTTTTATTACTTTTGATGTCTAAAAGGTAAAGTCCAAGTTCCAAAGGAAGACACTCAAAGCCTTTTTACGATCTGACTACAAGCTACCTCTACAGTCAATTTCATATTCTGTGAGCATTTTTCCTACATCCCAGGCTAAATTATCCCTCTTTTTCTCAAGGCACATTCACATACTTCAATACCCTGTGAGTTTGCAAATGCCATTCTCTACAATGCCTAAATCTCTTTAATCTCTTCATCCTTAAAACCTAGATCAAATGTCATCTCCTCTAACAGATTTTTATTTATGCCCATGGCCTCCTGAACCAATCCCTTTTCTGTGTTCTCACAGCACCTTGCTATGGCTCTATCACAGTCTAACATCATAAACTGACCTACCAACATATTAATTTTATTTCACATTTATTTTCTTTAACCAATATACTCTGGGATCTTTATCATTATTTATATAATATGTACATAATTACTTTTTTAAATGTTGAAGAAATGGTAACTGAATAAATTACTGTACACAGTACTTTAAGTTCTGACTTTTCTTTATGAACATAAAACACTAAGTTTTAGATATAGCTATATGAAACATACCTCTGTTGTTGGGTGGAAGGAATAAAGTGAGTTTTGCGAGCTGGAAAGCAGAGCATTCAAAAATTTTTGTGCCCACAAGGTGAACACCTGCAATCCCAGCTATCTGGGAGATTGAGGCACAAGAATAGAAAGTTTAAAGCCAAGCCAGATGTGGTGGCACCCACCTATTATCCTAGGAACTCAAGATACTAAGAAGAGGATCACAAGTTGGAGGCCAGCCCCAGCAACTCATAAGACTGCCTCAAAACTTAAAAAAAAAAGTGGGTCAGGGAGCTGGGGATGTAGCTCAGTAGTAGAGTGGCCCTGGGTTCAATCTCAAATATTGCAGGGGAAAAAAGAAAAAGAAACCTACAAAAAAAAAAAAAAAAAACACCTTTATATTTGCTCCGTGATGGGCTAATACAGAAGTAGCGTACTACAGTAAATAAAGCATGATCATTGGAACAAGAAAATTTGGTTTCAAATTAAGGTCACTAGTTGAGTGTCCTTGGTAAATCTCTTAATCTCATGACAATTTCTCTACCTATAAAGATGATAATAAAAGTCACGAACTAAAGTAAGGTCTCAAATTCAGTAATCCCTTAACTCTCTGGTGAGTTTCCCTACCTGTTAAAGAGGATTTAAAGAAGAGGATAAACTCAGAGCTGTAAGGTTTAAATAAGGATAAAACATGAAAGAATTGTTTACTAAAAGCTGTGGTCAAAGGTAAACAATTTTCTTTTTGGAGGGGGTGGTAGTAGAGACTGAACCCAGGGGTGTTCTACCTGTTCTACCACGAAGCTACATCATTAGGCTTTTCTATTTTTTTATTTTGAGACAGGGCCTCATTTACTTGCCAACACTGGCCTCAAACTTACAATCCTTCTGCCTTAGCTTCTTCAATCACTGGGATTTACAGGTGTGATTTATACTACCATGTCCAGATACAAATTGTTTTCATAAGCATTAGTAATTATGGAAAATGTGAATACCGCAGGCAGGAGGAAGGTATGGAGAGGGATGCTAACAGGTAATAAGTCAGCCTCCCTCTAGGCACAGTAGCACACATGATGAGCTACTGGGAAGGCTGAGGCAGAAGGACTACAACTTGCCAGTCTAGGCAACTTAGCAAAACCCATCTCAAATTTTTTTTAAACTTTTTTTTGGGGGGGAAATAGACACAATATCCTTATTTTATTTTTATTTATTTATTTATTTATTTTTTATGTAGTGCTGAGGATAGAACCCAGAACCTCCTCATATGTGCTAGGCAAGTGCTCTACCACTGAGCTACAAGCCCAGCCACCATCTCAAAAATTTTTTAAAAGGGCTGGGACATAACTCAGTGGAAGGTACTTGCTTAGCATGTGCAAGACCCAGGTTCATTCCCTAGTACAAAGAATTTTTAAAAATCAGGTTCCCACCAGCTCATGCTGATCATCAAAATTCCAACATCAACTTATTCTGAAAAAAGTAGTTTCTATTCCCAGGGTAACAGTGAAAAAATTTCAAGCAGAAAAAAAAATTTTTGAGAGGCAGAGAATATCCATGTATTCATAAAACACTGAAATCTACTGTGTGCCCAGCACTGGCACTCAGAGTTCCAAGTAATACTGTCGTAAGTAAATCCCTACACTAACTAGAGTACGTGTTTTCCTAAGGTAAATACACAGGAAAAGTCAGCATTTCTTACTTAAACTGAATTGTAGAGATAGCTCTACACTCACAGGAGAATGTTAACTATTCAACTCCAATTACATGGAACTTGTAATATTAACAGTATGCAGAGATTTAATCTAAGAATATACTTACCAATTAAAAAAAAAAAAACAACTCTTGACTAGAATACAAAATCACGAGAATTTTTTTTTTTCTTTTAATGAAACATACTTACCCAAGGCAGGGTATCCAAGGTAAAATCGATCTGCTCCCAACCATCCAAGAAAAAGAGATAATGCAACTGCCACTTTGTATGAATAGCCATTTCTGTATAGAATTAAAACTTGAGTGTCATATTCATGTTTCCAACATGTGAAAATTTTTAAAAACCAAGCTGTAAATTACTAATTATTTTTAAATGGCTCATTCATTCATTCCATTAATGCTTTTTGAGGTGCCTTGGTATGCTAAGCACTTTTTTAAGCTACTAAGATACATTAATGAATAAAAGCAACAAAGATCTCTGTTTCTGAGGAGCTTCCATTTTAGTTGCAGAAAGCAAAAAGCAAATATATTTTAAAAGAAATCATATAGTTCATTAGAAAGTCATAAATATTATGGAAAAAAAAGTAGTAGTAATAGTAGTAGAACAGCATGGTTAGGGAATCCAGAATGCCAGAAGCCACTTAAATGGGGTAAATAGGGTCATAAGGTAAGCCTCATTGAGAAGGTAATGTCTTTGTAAAGACCTGAGGGAAGTAAATGAATTAAGCCATGCTAGGCCTCTGAGAAAAGAGTGTCTGAAGCAAAAGAAACAGTTGGTACAAAGATAGCACACCTTGTAAGTTTGAGGCCAGTATAACAGGAGCAGAATGAGAAAAGCACAGACTATTACAAAATGAGGTCAGAGCGGTAATGGGGAGTAAAGGAAACCCATCATGCCCTGTACACCACTTACAAATACTCTTTTGAGTTTTACTCTGGTGGAAATAGGAAGCTACTACAGGACTTTAAGTAAAGGTGTAACATGATCTGATTTAAATTTTTATTAAAATAATCACTCTGGCTGCTATGTTGAAAACAGACTGGATGAGAATATTCATCAACTAATACCATGGTAATGTCATATACCAAAGCACTCCAAAGCTCAGTGGCTTATAACAAGCTTTTATTCTCATAGATTAAAGATTGGCTGAAGTTCAAGAGACCTAGGGTAGCTAAACTAGGATATTCTGCTTCAGGCTGCAGTTTGGTTGAGCTTGGATCCAAAGAGTAGATTCAGTTGAAATCAGTTTCACTTAACAAGGACCCAACCTGATCCTGTAGCAGCTACTTCAGGCAAGTTCTTCTCATGATATATCAAAGAACAAATGGAAAGCTAATGCCCACAAGCACTTAAACTTTTGTTTGTTTCACACCTGCTAACATTATATAGACCAAATTAAGTAACATGGCAAATTCAAAATAGTTTGAAGGATATTTTAATAATTCAAGTGAGAATTAACAATGGCTGGATCCAAAGTAATAGCAAAAGCATCAGTGAAAAGTAATCAGATTCTGAATATATTCTGAAATACCACCAATTAGATTTCCTGATGTATTAAATTAGGGTATGAAAAAAGAAATAATTAAGAATAGCACTGACGATTTTATCCTAAACAACTCAGATAAAGCTAGCATTAATGAGTTGGGAAGGCTGAGGATGGATAAATATTGGAAAGAAAATTAGAATTTCAGTTTCAGATGTGAGTTTGAGGTATGTATCAGACATTCAAATGGAATTGCCCAAAAGATAACTGGATTTACAAATCTGGAGTTATGGAATGACATCTAGGCTAGAGATAAAAAAAGTTACAAACATATAAGAAGCATTTAGAGCCATAAGATTGCTGAATATAGACAGACAAAAGAAGAGATCTGAAAATTGAGCCTGAGGGATTCCAAGAAGAAGGAATCAGAAAAGAGACTAAGGAGGTAAAGAAAAAATAGAACTGGATGAGAATGGTATCCTGGAAGTCAAGTAAAAAATGTGGCTAGTATACCATGTGAGATAATAACTGAGAATTTACTACTTAAACTTAACTAAAAGGAAATTATCAGTGATCTCACAAGAGCAATTTTGATGATACAATGAAGGCAAAAGACTGAATAGAAGGAGACTGAGACTGAGAAAAAGTGGAAAGAGAAAAACTGAAGTATTAAGACGACTCTTCTAAGGAATTTTACTGCAAAGGGGAATAAAGAGAGAGGTATCCAGAACCAAAGTCAAATCTGATCAAGTCAGAACCTTGTAAATAATCCTGTGGGGTTTTGTTTTTACTTTTTGCACTGTACTCACAATTACAACATTTTCTTGGAAAGTTGGGAAGAGATGGTAAATTGCCCAAAGATCCTCCTGCTCATGTGTTTCATACTACAATAATATCCATATTAATGCACAAGGCAGTGGTGCCCCATCCACATTGTAATGAGGTACCACACTAGAAGTAGAAAAATAAGTTAGGATGCTTTCCAAAACCTCAGGTAGTAGCAGCAGCACAAAGAAGTGAACAAAACTGTTAAATACTGGACCAGGGATGTAGTTCAATGGGAGAATGTTTGTCTAGCAAGCACAAGTCCCTGGTATGTCCCCAGAATGACAAAAAAGAAAAAGGAAAAGGAAAAGAAACCCCCCTCCTGCCCCCCGCCCCCACACAGGTAAATATTAAGAAAGCAGAAGTAACAGACTAAATATGAGGAATAAGGGGGGGAAAGAGATGAAAAGAGCTGGGCCCCTGCATGGCTTCATGCAAAATGAAAACCGTCGACCTGCTCATACCCTCTTCCTCAGATTTCTAAGCCAACCTAAATTGGATCATGGTAAGAATGAGAAATAACTTTTATTGTACTAAACTACTGAAATGTTAAAGACATTTATTACAGCAGTTAGCCTGTTCCAACTAATATAAGTGGCCACTATAAAGAGGTGAATTGCTTGCTAATCAATCAGACATGGTTACCAGACTTCATTTTCTGGGGAATACTATAATATGGTTGTATCTGCAATACTAAGATAGAATTTTAATCAAGTATTCATGTAATATATAATTTGAAAAATAATATGCTAACAGGAGCAAAAAATATGTAAACCAGAAGAGGGACTCCCAGTAAATAGGAATTTGTTAGTAAGTCTATTCATAGCTGAATAGCAGCTGCCCTTTGGCTATGCATGTATTAAATATTCTGAAAAAGAAAAATGATACATCAGGCCACCTTAGTTTTATAACTCTTACCACTAACTTCCATCGTTCAGATTCAATACTCATCAAGCAAATTCTATTTTAGATTTGTAGATTTTACTATGGGATGGGAATAAATTGGTAGTAGACTTGGAGTATCTGGTTTTCTTGATGGTGATATGCCTTATCATAACAGACATCAATGTCTTATGAACATTATTAGTGCAGCTCAGATGCATTGAGCCTACTCCACTTTGAAGACACTGAAAGAAAAATCAGCACTCATTTCAAAACTACATAACACATCTTATAGTGTTACTATTACATGTAATGAATTTGTAAGGTTCAAATTGAGTAGGTAGCTATCTATACTCAACAGATGATTTTCTTAGTTGTATTTTAACCTAGATATCTTGGACTAACACTTAATACACTGTTATTTGTAGTGTTTTAGGCAGAAATATTTATTTGTAGTTTAGACACTGACTACACCATACTTAAATACATTGAAAGTAATTCCTTTAAACAATTTTAACTTTGCTAATGAGAAATTCTGAAACCCAAGAAGATTAAATGATTGGCTTAGGATTACACAGCAGGACAGAATCAAAACCTCACTAACTCAATGAACTAGGGTCGAAAGAGAAAAGAAAAAAGGATTCTAAGCTCAAAGGATTCTGAAAGAAGTTGTAGAAAGAGCAAAACAGTGGTTACTTCTTGATACAATATAAACAGATGCCATCAAATAAAATGCAACCATATACAGTTATAAGGTAAAAATAAATTCTGATTTTAGTACAAAGCAAGAATAAAAGAATAGGATGTAAGTTTTACTGTAATCAATATAAAAATCAAGCATAAAAGTCCTTTAAACAGAGAACATTAAATACATTTGCCTTATTATTCCAAAATGAAAACTTTGAATTCTGTTTAACATTATTATTCAATATCCATATCCATTACAAAGAATTAGTCAAGTTCAAACTGCTCTTAATGTGAAAATGAATAATAACCATTTTTGTGTTTCTGATATAATAGGCATACAATACCTATCTGTATTCTAGAAATCTTCCAAATTTTGAAAACAGTATTTTTTATAATTCATTTCATAGTTCATTTGATAATCTTATTGCCCCTACTCAACAAGGCATGAGACCATTTATTGTCTTATTCTACACAGTGAATTTAGCTCTTTCTTCATTGGTGAATTACATTTATAAAAACATATGTATACTTAAAAAAACAGAGACTCTGAGACAAGTAAAAACATAAACATTACATCTGCAGGATTTCCCCATAAATTAACTCTTCATTCTATGATATCTACATGTTACATAAACAAATAATCTAAAATATTAGATATCAATAATGGTACTTACACATTTCGGCAAGATATAGGCTTATGAAAACCAACTTCATTTCCAGTAAAATGTGTTTCATTGCCACTGAAATCCTTACAAGTTATATTGGGTGCTGGAAAACATGAAACTAAAGGCAGAAAAAAAAATTCAAAAAAAAATTACTTCTTTTTATGTAGTAAAAGTATGTAATATTTCCCCCTAATATTTGCAAAGCACACAAGAAAATTCAACAAACTACCTTCCAATGTAACGTCTGACAGGAGAGTTTAATTTAGATAGGAAAAACTACCAAAAAAAAAAGAAAGAAAGAAAGAAAATGTATATATGTATATATAAAATAAATAAAATGATAGAGTGGTCTCAACACAAATATGAAAACTGCCACTGTGTTATACAAGGTCCATTTAGTCCAATCTCTTGCCTCTGACAAACATGACAAAGGAAGAACTGCACAGTATTATTTGCGTTTTACTTCATCTCTAGGATAAAGAATATTTCTTGGGGCTGGGGATGTGGCTCAAGCGGTAGCGCACTCGCCTGGCATGCGTGCAACCGGGGTTCGATCCTCAGTATCACATACAAAACAAAGATATTGTGTCCGCCGAAAACTAAACAATAAATATTAAAGTTTAAAAAAAAAAGAATATTTCTTAAAGTTTTGTTGGTAATTCATTTTAACATAATCTGGGTTTGAATATTCAGTTTATTTTAACTATTATAGGCATTGGCTGCCATAAATTAAAACTCTTTATTCTATGTATTGTACTATTTCAGCATTTAGCAATTTAATCTATATACATAACCTACATGACATGAGAATTAACACAGTGTCTGCCAGGCACAACTTGATACTATCAATTGCTCAAGTTGCCATATTTTGAAAATTTTAGATTTTAAAGTTATTTAATCATTCCTATTGGCTACTTTACATTGATATGAGAAAAAAAATGAAAGAAAAATGGCTAACAATCCAAGCTTAGAACCTCAGAAATGGTGGTAAGAAGTATAAGAATGAAGAGAAAACCATAATGCTAAAATGATTCTACAGCAGTTTTTGTCAGAAATATGAGCTACTTATTTCAAGGGATGAAAACTCTACACACTGGGCATGTTAACTGTTGAGCATTCAGATTTTTCTAACGTACAGTTTATGTTTTTGTGGGCAGACTCATTGAGATCATGCAGCTGCTATAATCCTAGTTACTTGGGAGGTTGAGGTAGGAGGACTACAAGTTGGAAGGCAGCCTGGACTTAGTGATACCCCATCTAAAACTAAAAAGGACTGGGGATGTAGCTCATTGGTAGAGCTTTTACCTAGCATGCACGAGAACCTGGATTGTATCCCTAGTACTGGGGAAAAAACTTGCAAACAGCCTATTCTTCATCAAAAATTTTCCCTACAGACTGGGCATAGTGGTGCATGCTTGTAATCCCAGAGATTTGGGAGGCTGAGACAGAAGGATCATGAGTTCAAAGCCAGCCTCAGCAATGGGGAAGTTCGAAGCAACTCAGTGAGACTCTGTCTCTAAATAAAATACAAAATAGGGCTGGGGAGGGCTGGGGTTGTGGCTCAAGTGGGAGACGCTTGCCTAGCACGTGTGAGGCACTGGGTTTGATCCTTAGCACCATATAAAAATAAAATAAAGATATTGTATCCACCTGAAACTAAAAAATAAATATTTTTTTAAAAAATGGGATGTTCACTCAATCATTGAGTGCCCCTGAGTTCAATGTCCAGATTCAAAAAAAAAAAAAAAAAAATTTCCCCTACATTCACCATCTATTGATGATTCTAATCCCAACTGTTTTTTACTATGATAATAGCAAAATAGTGGCTTTTCCAACTTAAGCATTCCTCAAGGAGAACTGTGTTTCAATGCTGGAAATATGAAGATGTTTTGGCTCTTGTCACCTTTATTTCTAGCTTTTGTTTTGACATGAATTTTAGATTGGCACATTTCATTATAGCTGGTCATTATACAATATAACTTGTTATAGAAATCACATCCAGTAGCTGGGTGTAGTGGTGCAAATCTGTAATTCCAGTGGCTTGGAAGGCTGAGACGGGAGGATCACAAGTTCAAAGCCAGCCTCAGCAATTCAGCAAGGCCCTAGCAACTCAGTGAGATCCCATTTCAAAATCAAACATAAAAAGGGCTGGGAATGTGGGTAGTATTTAAGCATTTCTGGGTTCAATCCTCAGTACCAAGAAAGAAAGAAATCATATCCAGTCTGACTTTTAAAGATACTGTTGGACTGGGGTGCACAATATGTTGAAAATTCACTCACATGTTAAAATGCCAATAAAATCCAGCTGCAAAATAAACCCTGCATTGCAACTAAATTACAACACTGAGTTATTAAACTCCAGAAGACCAATGGAAAATCACAATAAAATGCTATGACCCATCAGTGCCCAGCACCACTTCTGTTCCTACAATAGCTGTGGGCACTACGGCACCTCAGAGCAGAAGTCAGAGGATGCAAAGGCAGCACTGCTTGGCCTAAAGTCTGAGGACCAGAAATATGCCTTTTTCCAAGCCATGATGCAGGAAAGAGACTCACATTCTACCACAGGGAAACAGGCTTCCAGGGTGATTTGACATCCTCTCTGATCAGGATTTAGATCAGATTTACCATGGCTACTCCACTAGCTTTTACGTTTGAAAAAGGACAATTAGGGAAAAGGAAAAAAAAAAAAAAAAAAAACCTCTTGTGGATTGGCACAGACTCAAGCATCAGACTGGGTTGGAAGAACCTACCCCAGCTCTTGGTTCAACACCTTTATACCACGAATAAAATTACACATTAATATGAAGAAGCCTCATGGTTCACATTTGTCTCAAAACTTTTGTTTTCTTTTTAAAATCATGGTAATGATTTAAAGTTCTTTTATTAATGGGGTGGGGAGATTACTGGGGATTGACCTAGGGGTAGTTAACCACTGAGCCCCATCCCCAGCCCTTTTTATTTTGAGACAGTGTCTGACTCAGTTGCTGAGGTTGGCCTCTAATTTGCAATTCTCCTGCCTCAGCCTCCTGAATCACTGGGATTACATGTGCACCTTCCACTGCACATGGCTAAAGTTCTTTATTAATCTTTAAGGTCATTTATTTTTAAATCTAGAACATTTTATATGTTTCCAGATTTAGTTGGGCAAACAGACTTTTACACGTTTTATTCTCTTCAAATTTTATTTGAAAAGCATTTCTTTTATTTTCCTGCACCTCTCCACTTTCATCCTATAAGCACTTCCTGATACCATGACTAATTCCATAATACCTCTAAATTTTTCTAGCAACTTGATTTGCATGTGGTTATAACTTTACTTATCAATAATCCTTGAGAGAATTCAAACTTATTTAATCCAAAATAGACACTTAACTGGAGAGCAGAGCTCTTTTGGGGCAGAAACTATTCTTTATAGTTGTATATTTTCCTTTAAAATCTCTATACAAAAAATCCCAAATGCTAGAAGAAACTTTTCTGAGAGTGTCTGCCAGTTACATATTTGTCACAATAGTATGCATAGATTTCCAACATCTTTCATATGAATGATTATAAATAACTATATTTGAGAGCTTTCTCTTCTTTATGCATGTTAACTCTATACTACATTCTAAAACCGATAACATTAAAGACTTCTAACTGTAAACAGGCAAATCACAGCATACTTACAAGCTAACCAAAGAGGGATAATTTACAATATTCTTTTAAATTAATGTATACATAATAAGCAATATCTACTATGAAAATCATATATTTATACGTATACATACATCTATTATCCTATGACTGTCTATATAATAAAATTTCACTATTTCAGCATAGTAGCAAAAAGTCAATAATAAAGGTTTACACAACTTACCTTATATTTTTTTTGGTACTGGATTGAACCCAGGGTACTTAATCTACGTCCTGGAACTTTTTATTTTTTGAGACAGGTTCTCACTAAGTTGCTTAGTGCCTCGCTAAGTTGCTGAAGCTGGTCTCAAACTTGTAATTCTCCTGCCTCAGCCTCCCAAGTTGCTGAGATTACAGGCATGCTCCACAGCTACCACTTACTTTCAAGTATCTCTTCTAACTAGAATTGGGCTAATAATGTGACAAAATATAAAGACATAAAAATCTTTAGAAGGAAAGACTTAACAGGGAGTAAACTATTATATTTTATCAGGCATTGTACATAATTTAGAATAGAAGCTACCCACAATCATTAGACTGAAAGTCTAATAATTTCTTTTGACCCATTATCAAAACACCACTCTGAGAAAATATTAATGCATACTGTTAGGATATATCTAAGTGCATGTAGAAACATATATAATGTAGGTGACATAGCTTGTCACTATATTTTACTAAGCCAACAGTCTCATTTCACTTTTTTTGAGTAATTAAAAACTCTAACTAAAGAAGTATCTTTGCACACATCTCTTAAGAAATAAAAGGCTATAATTGCTTAAGGAAATACATGTTTACCCTGATTTAAACATTACACAATGTATACATATATTAAAACATAACATCATACCCCATAGATATATACAATTTTTATGTTTTTACATATAAATTAAAAATAAACTTAAATAAGAAGAAAATGAGGGAGCTATATAAACTGATGCAAAAATTTTAAATATATAATGAAAATACAAAACTTATAATTTATATAATTAAGGAAATAAGATTCTTTTTTAATTTAAATATTGGGGTTGGGAGTATAGCTTAGTGGTACAACACATGCTTAGCATATGTGAGGTCCTGGGTTCAATCTCCAGCATCAAAATAAATAATTAATCAATTAATTAAATGTTGACAACACCTAGCCAGTTCTTCAAATTTAAATTCTTCTGAAAACTGAATAAAACGTATAGCTTAAGAAAAAAATATATATATTTATTAATTAAATTTAGTGGTCACATACTGGTCTATGAAATAGTGTTTTAAAAATTATTTTTAAAGACATAATTCTTGAAGTCTTACCATGAGCTGTGTAGTTTGTACAATTAACTGGTTCTTGTGTAGCATCGTTTATTTTGGGATCTTTACAAATATATGTTAAAAAAAAAAGTTAAGGAAATAAGAACTATCTAACAGAACACCACATGTAAAAAAGAAGCTGCTGGTTTATCTAAGTCAACAAGCACAGATATAAACATTCTTCTAGTATAATACCTAAATAATACCTGAATGTTAACTTATTATAAGCAAAGTATATAAATTAAATGTATGTATTTAAAGCTCTAGAGAGGGCTGGGGTTGTGGCTCAGTGACAGAGTACCTGCCTAGCACATGTGAGGCACTGGGTTCGATTCTCAGCACCACATATAAATAAATAAATAAATAAATTTATAAATAAAAATTCATCCACAATTAAAAAAAAAAAAAGCTCTAGCAGAGAATTTCATCATTAAAGAACATCAGTCAGGATATAAACACAAAGCAAAAATCAAAATAAACATTGTACTAAGTTATTATTAAGTAGGCTTCAGGTTAACAAATCAGTTTCCAAAGATTTGTACTGAACTAATTTGCAGAGCCCTAGAATTACCACTGAATTTCATTTAACACAAACCTGTGAGGTAGATGCTATTAGCCCCACATCACAGATGCAAAAACTGAAGCTCAAAGTTTGAATGGCTAATGTAGCCATATAAATGATAGGTGATAAATCAGGTTTCCTTATTTAAAGTCCATCAGATTGCAGAAAGATGGGTGTATTCTATATGGACACTCTAGCAGGATTTTAAGTTTTTGAAAAGAGTATAAGAACCAAAAATGTCCAAAAGAGAAACTGGAAGTTTTATCTCCTAAATGTTTTATTACTGACACTATAATAGGGATGAGTATGGTATTCACAAAATGTCTCTAGAGTCCATTTAAAATTTTTGAATCTCTATTGGAAACTTCATACTAGGAATAAAAGTGATTATCCAGTTGTCATCACCTCACAGTTCTACAGGCTCATTCTCTCCAGGGTTCAACTTTGATACCGCCCAATTATTTTCTTAGAATCACTCCCATATTTCTTCCAAGAATAAAATTCAACTTATTAGGTCCATGATTCTCAAAGTCAAAACATAATGATATTCAACAAATTAGAGCTATTCCGTGAAAATCTTTAATAGTAATAGTGTCGCTCCTCAAAGCACACAAAATCACTAGAATTTTCTTCATATCAAGAGTTCCTCTTACAGAATCTTTCTTATACAGGTTGAGGATCCCTTGCTTGAAGTGTCACGTCGGGGCTCAAAAAATTTTGGATTTTGGAGCACTTAGTAATTTTGGTTTTTTTGTTTAGAGATAGTCAACCTATATCTCTAGCTTCCATTATTAGTTTTCCTGTTCCAAAGTAGCTATTTTAAGCACAACTCATCCCCTTAACCCTGATTTGGCCTGTTTCCTCGCCTGTAAATAAATAGCTAACACATACATTGCCTACTATACCAGGCACTGTTCACACCTGTACTAATTAAATATCACAACAGTCCCTTAAATTGGCACACTTGTCATTCACATTTTTACATGAGAAAATGTAATATTCAAATAATTTGCCCAAGGATACAAAGTGGAGCAGGAATTCATCTGGCAGTTTAGCATCTCAGGATAACATGAAGTACTATATGTAAAATTAATTGTAAAAGAATAATACACTTTGATTGGAGGGAGCACTAGTAATTACTTGTCTCCCTCGACGTTGGCAAACTTTTCCAGGGTAGAGTCTGTCAATATTTATATTTCTAAGTGCCTAGAACAGGGCCTGGTATACCTCAGGATCTATGTTTAACAAGCACACCGGTTACAAAAAGAAATGGATGAGGTTAAGAAGCACCAACCATTAGTTAAATCCTACGGAAAGCACACGGGCTGCCCTCTGCCCCTCCGATCCCCAAATCCCCCCTCGTCCCCCGGGGTCCCTCGTCCTTAGAGGTCACGGGTCATCGTTCCTTCAGTAGAGCCTAGCCAGTACTGAGAACCGCAACCCGGAATCTACCTCACCATAGAGGATATTGCCCCACTTTGAGGTCCTCGCACTTAAGCGTCTCGTCGCCCCCGGCGGCAGCGGTAGCGACAGCCCCCCAAGGTCCCGTGGTGGCTGCCACGAGCCACAAAACTCCAAGAAGGTGGGCGGCCACGGCCTCCGGAGAAACAGGACCGGAGGGCCAGGCGGCCGCCATGTTGGGGACCGGCTATTCCCCCACACTTCCGGTTCCGCTCGCGTCAGGCGCGGGCGGCAGAGGGCGGAGTCAGGGCCAGAGGCTCTTAAAGGGACCGCGCAGAGGTTGGAGCAGGTTGTCACCTAGGGATTCTCTTATTCTAGGATTCGGCAGGATCACCCGAGAGAGTGTTTTTTAAAGTTAGGCCCAGAGTTCTTCATTCGGACCGAGTCCATCTTCTCCCGCTCCGACCCGAACCCTGGGATGAAGGGAGAGGTTCACGAGGGCGGAGGCGGGGGTGGGAGTTGGGGGGTTTAGGCCAGCTCCTCCTTCGAATTCACCCTGCTCTGGCACTTCAGTGCCCCCAAACTGCGAGTCCCATACATCGTCTTCAGGAGTCCTAATAAGATTTAGATTTACCAACTAAAGAGCTAAGCTGGAAGACGCTGAAAGCTCGTTTACCTTAGTTACTTAATTACTGAGTTGGACGGGGGTGAGAGGGGCGTTGATGTTTGCAGGATTTCAGAGTCTGTGCTCTTATAAGATATCATGGGCTCCCTGTTACCTTAGAGAAAGATTTGTGGAAGCCTGCCAAGGACTCTGTGTCACAAGAGAGGTATTACAGGTTTGTTTCTGTTTTCTTTCTTTCTTTCTTTCTTTTTTTTTTTTTTTGTGTGTGGGGGGGTACCCGGGATTGAACTCGGGCACTTCACCAGTGAGCCACATCCCCAGCCCTGTTTTTTGTTTGTTTTTTGTTTGTTTGTTTGTTTGTTTTTAATTTAGAGATAGGGCCTCCCTGAGTTGTCTAATGCCTCCATAAATTGCTGAAGCTGGCTTTGAACTTGCGATCCTTCTGTCTCAGCCTCCCAAGCCACTGGGATTACAGGCTTGTGCCGCCCCAACAGCTAGGCTTTTTTAGTAGTGGGAAATAAAGGGAAATTTTAAGAGGGTAGGGACCCATAACAAAAGGAGAACAAGACATTTAAGACTAAATCAAGTAGAAAGTGGAATGGTTTTTCCCTTCATCTCTTCTAAGTTTCTTTTTCTAAAATTCTGTATTGGGGAAATTTCATAATAAAAAATTTATTTTAGTGAAAATTTAATCCTTCTTGTCTAAACATCTAAGAATATTTGCTTTTGAGTGGCGCTTCTTCATCCACATCAGCAAGTTTGGAAGAAAAACTGTGCACTGGTTCTCCAACTTTAGCCTCAGAAGATGAACCCTGCCTGCAGTTTCTGATCCAAAAGTTCTAGGGGGGGGGGTTTGCATTTCTAAGGAGTTCCCAAGGGATGCTGATATAGCTGTCCCAGGGACTAAACTTTGAAAACACTGGTAGAATATATTTATGAGAAATATCGTTTTGGATTATGGGCTGGAAGACATAATCCAAAACAATTTCAAGTAATAGTAAGTGTTGTAAATACATTTTTCTCAGTAAACAAGTTTGTTTGCTTTAATTGCCTGCTTTTAATTTAAAACATTCATGCATAATTAACTCATGAATAATTAACTTATGCTTTTTTAAGCCCAGTGCAGTGGAGCAAGCCTGTAATCCCAGCAACTATGGAGGCTGAAACAAGAGGATTGCAAGCTTGAGACCAGCCCCCAATTTAAGGAGTCCCTAAGCAACCTAGCGAGACCCTGTCTCAAAATAAAAAATATAAAGGGCTGTGGATGTGGCTCAGTGTAAAGCATCAATAGGTTCAATCCCATGTTTAAAAAAAATCAGGTTTAAATGATAAGAAATTTGAAATTTACTATTCTAGTTCAATTTTGAGCTTCCTATTTTAAGTGAACTTTTTCTCTCTTTTCTTCACTTTTTCTCTCTTTCCTTCACTTTTTCTTTCCCCTTTCTTTCTTTCTATTTCTACCCCCAAAATAAAATGTTTACTAATCATTTCCTATATACACAGCCCTAGGCTAAGCTAGCCCCTAGCAACTCTAAAAAGCACTTACGTGTTGTAGGAAAACGATAACCAAAATACTGTTTGAGGGCTGGGATTGGGGCCCAGTGGTAGAGCACTTGTCTAAGATATGTAAGGCACTGGGTTCAATTCTCAGCATTACATATAAATAAGTAAAATATAGGTCCATTGACAACTAAAAAAATTTTTCAACCTCAGCAAAAAAGCAAGGTGCTAAACAACTCAGTGAGATCCTGTCTCTAAATAAAATACAAAATTGGGCTAAGTGTCTCTAAATTCAATCCTTGATACCAAAAATTTTAAATACTGTCTGTAAATGTTATAGTAGAAACACCTGAATGGGCACAGTGGCACATGCCTATAATCCCTGTAATCCCGGGTAGTCAAAAGTTTTAGGCAGGAGGATCACCAGTTCAAACCCAGTTAGGACAAAAGAGCAAGACCCCGTGTCAAAATAAAATGAAAAGGAATGGGGATATAGCTCAGTGGGATAGTGCTTGTCAACATGCAGGAGGCCTTGGGTTTAATCCTTAGTACTGTAAGGAGACAAACAGATGAGGATGATAGGAACACGAGGGATTATCACCCAGAGTACTAATGGGCTTGCCCATTAGTACTCTGGGTGATTGAGAAGCTTGATATGAAATCCTGGTCCTGTGAGTATGAGGACCCAAAAGGACAAAGAGAACATGTAAGACAGATTTTAAAGGCAAATGTCCTCCCTTAAATTAAATAGTTATCAAAAAGTTAGTATCCTTTATTCTGAGTGAGACCCAGTTCTCTCTACCCTGAAAGTTTATTAAGTGATGGTAGACTCAGCACAGACAGAGCAGGATTTATTATAGAAGTCATTTAAGGGCTTCACAGTCTCCCAGAGTAACAAGTCACCCAGTAAGAGTAGATAGTCCAGAAGCTTGCACCCTTTTCATGACCACCCATGAAGAAAGAGAGAAATTATGACTATGCTGGTAAGGTTAAGTCCAGGGGTCATGGAAGGAGAGGTGGGAACTGCTGGCCTCTAGAAGGTACAGAATGAGGAGATGTCCCCTAGCCAAAGAAACAGTTTCCTCAGGGCAGATGCTCATGTTCTGGTCTCATTTATTCATTCATTCAGAGGGAAACTTCAGCCTCAAAAGTAATACCAGGGGATGACCTAATCACAGTAGAAAACAGGAGATGCCTGAGAACTTTCCACATCCAAACCTAGACTGATTACCAATTGAGGGAACAGAAAAATGGTCTCCAGAGGGAAACATTTTAACACCAGACCTTAAGAGACTGTTGTTACAAAAAAGGGAGAATTTTTTTTTTTTTAATGGTCAAAAAAGTGCTTTATGGAGCTGGGGTTGTGGCTCAGTGTTGGAGTGCTTGCCTAGCACGCCTGAGGCACTGGGTTTGATCCTCAAAACACATAAAAATAAATAAATAAAATAAAGGGATTGTGTCCATCTACAATTAAAATAATTATTTAAAAAATTGCTCTGTGTATGAGTTTTTACCTCCTATTCTCTAAATGACAGCTTTCTCTACTCTTTACCTGCCTGACACCCATCTAAAATGTAAGCTATGTGAGCAGGTACCCAAATCAGTTTGAGGGTAGGGTGTCACTTTTAAATCCAAGCTGCTGTGGACATAAGTGGTTGTTTTGTCTGTTCTTTATTCTGGGATTCTGCAAAGTTCCTCCCTAATGGTAAAGAACAGGAGAGACAGGGGATCTGGAAAGTCAGGCTAGACCAGGTCCTGGACCCTTTAGGCACCCTTAAGAGGTATGCATTCTGCCTTAGACAATACATTGCCCCAGGATGCAGGGATCACCTCCACAATAAGGGGATGCACTAAGGGAGTTTGATGGACCAAGGAAGTAGGGAGATACCCTGCTTCCTGGGGTATTTTTAATTCTCTACATTTGGGCACAAGGAAGGAAAATGGAGAGATCCCATAATACAAGTCTCCTTTACCTTAAGATCCTTTGCCTGAGGAATGTGACATAGCCTATCCATTTAGGCCAGGCAAGGCTGCCTGTGAATTTCCTCTTGGAAAAGAAAGCATGTGGGGGTCAGCACAGTGGGTCCATTGTATAGAATTATTCTTTTAACCTTGTATTCCCACCATCCTCATCTGTCTGCCCCAACAGTACCACATATATACAAAATAAATAAAAATAAAAAACACCTCCTAATTATGGTAACATGGAGGGGTTTTTTGTTGTTGTTTTGAGACAGAGTCCAATTTGTTTCCCAGGCTGGCCTTGAACTCCTGAGCTCATGAAATCTTGCCTCAACCTCCCTGTAGCTGGGACTATAGGCATAGTGCAAGTGCTTACTCTATCACCAAGCTACACCCTCAGCCTTAGGACATGGGGCTTGATTAAGATATTTAAAAACAAAAAAACAGTATTTGAAAGCTGAGGTTGTAGCTCAGTGGTAGAGTGCTTGTCTAGCATGCTTGAGGTCCTGGGTCTGAAGCCCCAGCACCAAGGAAAATCCAGAAAAACTTCAAATACCATATTTTGTCATTAGAATTATTCCAATTTTAGTGTATATGCTGCCAAAGGAATATAAAGTGATGCCAAAGGAAGCACAGTCATTCGCCTCAGAATAATTTAAAGTCCAGACCAAACTGAATTATCAGAGATGTATCTTTTTTTTTTTTTTAAAGTACTGGTTATTGAATCCAAGGGTGCTTAACCACTGAGCTACACCCTAGTCCCTTTATTATTTTTTTTTTTATTTTGAGACAGGATCTCGGTAAGTTGCTTTGGATCTCCTACATTGCTGAGGCTGGTCTCAAACTTGTGATCCTCCCACCCCAGACTCCCTAGTCCCTGAGATTACAGGTGTGCATCATAGAACTCAGACAGAGATGTATCTTCACACAATTAATGACCACCTGAAAATGTACAGCCTAGAAAACTAATCATTAACTGTGAGTTTAAAAAAAAAAAAAAAAAAAAAGCTAGGTACAGTGGCGCATGCCTATAATCCCAGCAGCTCAGGAGGCTAAGGCAGGAAGATTGCAAGTTCAAAGCCAGCCTCAGCAAAAGCAAGGCACTAAGCAACTCAGTGAGACCTTGTCTCTAAATAAAATACAAAATAGGGCTGGGGATGATGGCTCAGTGGTTGAGTGCCCCTGAGTTCAATCC